ACCAATGCATTATTGTAAAGTACAATTGACGATAAGTATAACAAATAAATAGAGTCTTAAACAAATAGACATCTTTTTACGCTACAATCTTTATATATTGAGATTTTTTTTAAATATATTGATAAATAACTCAATACTCAATAAATTTATTGTTGTTAATGTTAATGTTACATAGTTAAGTTAGTCTCACTATGGACCCTGTCGGGCACAACAATAATAGAAAGTAGGACCACTGGTTTTTATGATTGTAATTTAAAAATAAATAAACGATACATAATTATAAATTTTCAATTTCGCTAATGTTATTATTTAAGCATAAATATGTATCATATATACTTGAAGAATAATATTTCATTTTAGAAGGTGGTATTTAAGAAGGTGCCATTAATTTATTTCTAGGTATAAGAGGTTTAATTATGGTATCATCTCGCTTGGTATAGAAATTTGGGTATTTTAAAACAATCTTGCATAGTTCAAGAATATACAAACAAGGTAGCGTTAGGATTTTATATTTTATTAAGTAAGCCTTGCATGATTCTGTTTCCTCTATATTGAATATTATCCTCATGAGTTTCTTTTGTTTTGTAATACATAAACTTTAAAATACAGCAATTGATTATGTCTGACCCATTGACTGGATTATTGTTTTCATTTCATTTTCTCAAGCATTCTATGTGCTTATGTTGATTAAACTTATATACTTACACATTTCGCCATATGTAGGTATCCATGTGTGAAACCTATACTTATCATGACAACTATTTGTCATTTAAATTAAACAAAATTATCTCTTAAATTAGTCAAATATTTACGTAAGTGAAATCGTAGAACGACAAAGAAATTTTGCTTATTTATCAAATATAAAAGTAGAATTTATTGCGGATTGTTCGATTTGTGTACTAAAATGTGACATTTAGTTTTAGTGTTTCAGTATGCTTATATTTTATTTTATCGTCCTAATTCGATATTATTTGTTACATAGTTTTATGTATAGGTACTTTAATTAATGAGATTTTAAGATTTTTTATGTAGATATAAGTCCCAATAATAATGCGTGTCACCTATTTTCAAAAACTAGGCATCAGGATTTTTTATTAAAAACGTTCTTTCATGGTTTATTTAAAAGCTAGATAATGTTTTATTACAAAAACGTTAAAGGGACAGCAATTGGTTGTTTGTTTTGGTTATGAACTAGGTATATTAAATTGTTAATTAGAAATAACTATATACTTAAGAGAATGTGTCTAATTTATCTGTATATTTTTCCAATACATTTTTCATAGGCATAACTGTAAGTTAATCATTATTTTTGTTAATCGAGTTAAATTATCTATAATTTTTAATTTACCTATAATTATTGTGCAATTATTAACGAAATAAAGAAACTTATAATATCTCGTTACAAAACTAAAATAAACCTGTAACGAAAATCTGAAATTAAGATGAATCTGAATCTGAGATGGTTGTATAAGCCATTCATGAATATGTTTACTTTAATTAAATGCTTATAAAATAATGTATTTATGGTTATGTGAATGATATTTATGACATACATACTACATTTGTAATTTTCATTATTCTGTATATTTAGTATATCGCGGTGTTATTGTTTTATTCAAAAATAATAATCACAGTGACATTGAAAAAAAAAGGTATTTTTGTTTTATGAAATACTAAAATATGGTCAGTTTATGACGCCGTTTTATTTACCCTCAGTACCTCCTAGGACGTAGAACATCGGCTTGTTCAATGCTTTCTAAATATTTTCTCATAAAAGAAAAAGTTATTCTGCTCAAAATAAAATACACCATGAGCCATATTATATATTATATAATAATACTTACATAGTTCATGTGTAGATTTCTTCCAAGACATCTCCATCAGTAATCATAATTTAGTTAAATTACACAAATCACAACAAATATACACGTCAATCTTGCTTACACATAACTTACTGAAAATAGCATGATCATTCAGTAAGTAACTTTTGAGTACATTACGTTGTATTATTGTAACAGACTTAGCTTTTTATAGGGAGGGAGCATTTTTGTTTTGTAAATAGTCTAAAATCCATAATATGGGCACATAATATTTATATTTTTAATATTTAGTCAAGGTATTTATCGTCAATACCAAATGGCATACAAGTGAGTTGTAGGCCCATTTCTCACTGACGCAAGAGACTATTTTGTTTACCTACATATATGTTACAACAATGTAACTTTCGAAAATCCAGAGTTTCGTATGTGTAGAGCATGCCTACAATAATATTAGTGTAAACACTTGGACATTTTTCCAAAGATTATCCACTTACTTGCGCACGTATGATCTTATAAATTAATGCTAATTATATATGTATTGTCAAATATAAGTTGTAGTCTTAAGTGTTGTACAAACTTAGTTGTATACTAGCATATGTTGTAATCTTATATTGCATGGTGCGTTTTCTGTTACTGTGCCTTTTTATGAATAAATAAGGCAGGTACTTGTCAACTATTATAAACCAAATTATAACCATGTTTATCAAAATTTAAAAACTGTTTTATTTAATATCATTCTCTATATTAAAAAAGAACTACCTACGATGAAATTAAAATGTATGGTAACTATTTCAAGATTGAATCCTCCAAATGTTGAAACTTACTTTTGGCACAGCCACACCTTGGATGAGCCTAGTAGGTCGTATGCCCACGGTCACCACGGGGATTTAGGGCTATTTTCACAAATAGCCAACAAATGAAAGAAAAATTGATATTATAAAGTGCTATTAGTAATATTATTATTAATATTATTTTTTCTAATACTTTTTTAAATAAAATAAGAAAACTCTGCAATTTATGAAACGCCGTTATACGTGTTAGCTATTTAGTTAGTTATTTATTATACGAAAATAACAAAAGGGTAGGTAAACCTTTAACATTTTTTTACCTTGACTGCTGGCTCTACAGATAAATTAATTTTGCCTGTAATTAGTCTTAAAACTAGGGATATGAAAATAATTATACTGACGTAATTATTTTGAAGGAGTACATGAACCAAATTCCCTCAACAGTTCAGGAAAATCAATACTATTGATCATTATTTTAATAAGATAGTTAATGTCAGATATAACTCAGCGTGTTTAGAGGAAAAGAAATTGAAACTTATTTCGCCTTTCTTTACCAAAAAAAGTTAAGATTTAAATTTCAAATATCTTAAAAAGTTTCTTTGAATAGACTAAATTCTTATAATTTACACATCATATTGGGGATTCCAAATTTCTGATACTACGCACGAACGAACAGTAAGATTCTTTTATTGTTTCAAGTTGGGTAAACTTGACAGAGAACGTTCTAATAAATCCAAGCGCTTTTGAAGCATTCTTAACTACGTGTTCGCCAAATAATAACTTTGAATATTAATTATAAAGTCCGATCAATCACTTTGCCTATGACATTCTTTACATAAAAGCCTTTCGGAAATATTTTGTACTGTACTACCCATGGAAACACATAGAGTTACGTTTAGCTTTATGTGTTTTCATGGGTAGTACAGTACAAAATATTTCCGTCCAAGGCCGTGGCCGAGCTTTTTGTTTACAAATTAATATGTCAAAAGACGTACACGATTACAATTATTTATAAACTTATTCTATTGAGACATGAAAGTCTAATCAATAAAATAAAAAGATATCATAATTCAAGTAATTATTTTTTCCAACAGAAGAAAATTTGAATGAAGCAAGAGTTGTTAATAGCTAATAATGATAGTATTCTAATTATTAACAGTTTTTACTACATTCAAATTCTAGTTTATTTGGTAAAAAAAATGTGTTTAAATTTCTTCTTTCGACTATAAATACGAATTAAGAATTGTATTTTAAATTAAGAATTCTAATAAGGTTAAGAATTTTTAATTAATTTACTAACCAATAACGTATACGTTTGCATCAATGTTCATTAACTTGGTTAACCAAAATACTAGTTAACTAACGACCGTTCAATTTTATCTCTTATCAATTCTTGTGTTTCTCGTAGCATCGAATTTCATCATACGTAGCAAGCGACTCTCGTAGATGTGGTTTAATTATCAACGCCATCTATTAACAAGTAGATAAAACGCTTCATCTCCACTGTCAAAGCATGGTAGAAATTAACGAAGTCATCTGTACGAGCAGATAACACATATTTTTTCTTACTCTTCATGCGACTGAGAATGAGAAAGTATTTTTAAGAAAAACGAAAGCACTAAAAAAGCATCTCCACTAGATGGCAACTCTAACAAAAGTCGATTTTTGCAGGCAACGAATGGACCAAAGCCAGTAATTTCCGTTCCTTTTAACTAACATTAAAAAAAAAGTGAAATTTGAAAAATTCGAAACTTAGATATCACTACAAATACGAATTTGTTTATTGAGTTTTGAAAACTGTATAATTTACTTTTAAACATGATAGAAAACCGGAAGAGTTGTCATGGAGAATCAAGAACGTACCGTAGTGACATCTAGTTTGATTTTGGGAACTAATGTTTTTTTAAATACTTCCTGATTCGATAAACATAAATTAATCTTTACGACTGTTATATGTATTTATGTCACCGTCAATATATTATAATCTGTACAGTCTAAGCTTAAAAATAAGGTTTTTTTTTTCAAATTATCGTTATATAGTATTAGTAAAACCAAAAATTTTTATGATTGAACATAATAGATATTTTTCAATATACTTTTTTTTAATACAATATTTATTGGGATTTTTGCTATGAGAGAATTCATGACTAAGGCTTAGTAGTCTTGTTTATTTTGATACATAATTCTAATAAGATTGTGATTTGTGTATACATTTTATAATCCTTAACTTAATATAAGTTATATAGTTCGGATTGCTTAAATACCTACTACCAATGTATTTTATTGAATAGATTATACCTCCGAATTCCTTACGTAAACTACTTACGACATTTTTATTCATAAACAATAAGTATATCGAAACGAAAATGGTAGAATTTTATTTTATTCATCGAGCACACTTCGAGGAAGCTGGTCACATTCTAGCTGTCTCCGTTTCAGCAAGTATGTAAATGTCATTTTCTACCTATTTTCCCTTTTTCTATGATAAATAAGATAAAATATTGTTATTTTTAAGTTCACGCGTGTGATTTGTGTCGTGTGCGGTGAACTACGGATCGTGATGCCATCATTAAGAGAATATAACCTCCGCGAGGCGCGGACAGTGTGTATCACGTAACGTCTAATATGGCCCGATGGTGAGGACGATGGTGCTGAGTACCGAATGGGCGCAGGTGGAAGTCGTCGAGCTGATCAATGATGGCAATGGACTCGGTTTCAACCTGGTCGGGGGGCGGAGCACAGGTGTGGTAATCAAATATGTTCTGCCGGGCGGAGCAGCGGATAAGGATGGGCGGTTACAGAGTGGAGATCACGTGCTACAAGTCGGGTCTGTGAATCTGCGTGGTTTTACATCTGAGCAAGTAGCGGCAGTCCTGCGGCAGGCCGGTCCCTCAGTGCGACTGTTGGTAGCGCGCCCCGCAGACCCCTCTGCTGCCCTCCGCGCCCCGTTGCCCGGCACTGCTCTAGTACCCACTAAACTACTCTCCGATCCGGAACTCCTCGACCGCCACTTGATAGAATGCGGCTATGGAGCAGTTTATGATGTAGCTCAATGCTACAATGAGTATATCAATGGTCAAGAAGATCAAACAGAGAACATTGTGGTGTCAGCTGTTAGTGTATTAGGGGACAACTCTCAGCAGATTCCGGATCATCCCATCGTAGCGGATTGCGTGTCACCGACCATTACTATAACCGTACCAGTGGAAATACCTGATTTACCAGAGGTGGAGATAGTGCATGTTGATTTAAATAAAAATGTATATGGATTAGGTATTACTGTGGCTGGTTATGTTTGTGAAAAGGAAGAATTGTCTGGGATATTTGTGAAAAGTATTATAGAAGGCAGTAGTGCTGAGCAGAGTGGTAAAATTAAACTTAATGATAGAATAATAGAGGTGGATGGAGTGTCTTTAGTGGACAAGAGTAATCCTCAAGCTGTAGATATTTTGAGAAATACAGGTATATCAGTGCACTTGGTGTTAGAAAGATATTTAAGAGGTCCAAAGTATGAGCACTTACAATTAGCCATATTTAATGAGGAGAGGCCCTCTTCACCCTCACCAACTACCACCACCCTCTCTTGGTTCCCAGTGCCTTCTCAAGTTGATAACACTTTAACTGATATAGAACCTGAGCCTGAATCCAACACTACCATTGATTCTAATGTTTTAGAAGTAGGAGAGCTTGAAATTGAAGAACCCTCTCAGGAGGAATTAGACCGAAGACTAGATGAAATACTAGCTGTGAGTGATGAAGAAATCAAGAAGAAATGGGAGAGTGAAATAGGCACTGAAAAGGAAATTATTGTGGCTGAAGTTAACAAACTTGAAGGTCTCGGTATTAGTCTAGAGGGAACAGTGGATGTGGAAGGTGGACAGGAAGTCCGACCTCACCATTACATTAGATCTGTTTTACCAGAAGGTCCAGTGGGTCAACAGGGTACTTTGTTAGCTGGAGATGAATTGCTTGAAGCTAATGAGTATCGGTTACATGGTCTGACTCATACAGAAGTTGTTAATATATTGAAACAATTACCCAACCGGGTACGTTTGGTGTGTGCAAGAAGCAGCACCGAAAGTGGCCCTAGACCGGTCATAAACTTGGCGCCAGATAGAGAGGGCTTTGAGGCAAGAAAAATTATATCAGGCAGCCTCAACAACCTGACCACACTTGTTAAAGCTCAGTCAGATACATCAATAAACACATCCAGCACAGCTACATTAACAAATCACTCTGGTCACTCTAGAAAGTCTCGATCGCTTGAGTGTATTTCAGGTCTTGCCATGTGGCAGAGTAAGGAGGATATTGTGGAACTTGTAAAAGCAGACCAAGGTCTTGGGTTTTCTATTCTAGACTACCAAGATCCTGTAGATCCTAATGGAACTGTTATTGTTGTAAGAAGTTTAGTTCCCGGTGGGATGGCAGAGAAGAATGGTGAGATATCTCCCGGAGATAGGGTGATGTCTGTGAATGGTATTAGTATTAAGAATGCTACACTAGATCAGGCTGTGCAAGCTTTAAAGGGTGCTCCAAGAGGTGTAGTAAGAGTTGGCATTGCACGTCCGTTGCCACCACATGACTCAAAGACAAAAAGTACAAGCACATTAAACACTAAACCAAGTTAATCTTAGCCCTTTGTGATTATTTAAACCCTACTAGTCAAAGTTTAAAATCATATCTCTACTACTTTTTAAATTGAAATTAAGGTGCAATACACATCGAGTGTTTAAAACACAATGTGTTAGACGCTTGATATGTTCGATTCAATGAATACTGAATCTGTTGGAATGCAATTTGCACAAATACTAAGTGCTAGTCAATACTGGGGCATTTTAGTTATTGTCTGCAATATTAGTACTTAATGAAGCTCAAAATCTATGAAACAATAAATTTTACGCTTTACTAGGTAGATAATGACTTCATAAGCTACACATGTCCTTTTGTACTGCACAAAATTTTAATACCCAGGAATGCTTACAATGTCTTGAATATTCGCTTTCTATTTTTATTATAAATTCAAAACAGAAAACATTTATTACAACTTACTCTTATTGCTAAGATTTTTATATAGGTACAAACTATTATAAACCTAGATTTTATAATTAAAATAGTACCTACCAAAAATGAATAACTCAGAAATATATTATGTATTACTTAAAAACTAATGTATCTTTTTATATAAAAAAAAAACAAGTTTTTTAATATCTTGCACAGTTATCAAACTATATTCATAATGATATTGGTATTTTGGTATTATATATTGGTATTGGTATTTATATGATAATTTGATCTAATTATTTTTGCTATTTCAAACATTACTTTATTCAAGACGTTGTGAACTTCAAAAAGCATTCTAAAGTTTAATTAAATGAATAATGTAGTATTTTAACATGATGGAATTAAAATTGTAGTTATAACAATTGACCTTGTAGATACTAACCTAAGGGAACAATTATATAAAATGTAATTTTATGTAAATAATATATACAGTCACTTTGAATCTCATCATAAAATAAGATTTATATAAATATAACAAGAGGGATTTGATTAAGAATTAATTTCTTCTACACTAAAAGAAAGTATTATAATGAATGAATCAATTGCTTTATTCTCCAATTATAATAGCATGAATGCTATTATAAGGTTTGTGATTTTGTTAAGTTTTTATGTGGATATATGTATTGAAAGTATTTTTATTTATAAATTCGATTTTGTGATTACAGAGAGAGAGAGAGAGAGAGACAAAGTTAATGCTACTTTATAATTTTTTGTAACATTTCTGGTTAGACATTCTCTACTTTAATCCTGGTGCTCTATTTTTGAATCATTCGTCTCGCGTCGAGCGCTCGTTTTCTACTGATTTTCGTTCGACTTAACAAATTCGCCATTTCTAAATCGCTCGACTGCAACGAGTGGTATGAACCACTCGTCGCTTAGCGAACGTTGTATGCGAGTGATAGAAGAAAACGAGCGCTCGACGCGAGACGAATGATTCAAAAATAGAGCCCCTGTATCCGATCTCCCAAAGCGTGAGTAATGTTCTATTCTCGCTCAATCTCATTTGAATTTATCTTTTTTTTCCTATTATAATCATGTTTTACATTTCAAAATTGTATATAATCGCATAATACGTACTATTGACCTTAGCAAATGACTATAGCACGTTAGATACCTTTATTGCCTTGTAGTTGTACCTTTGTGGCGTCTCGCCTTCTTGACGGCATAGCGAAGGTTCGATTTGGAGTTTCTTATATATATTACACATCACAAGGTGTCATTATTTCATAATCGATTTTAAACTCTACATGCAACGTAATAAGGCAGAGCTCGGCGAAATTGGCAAGACTAACACATGTATTAAATAAACCCAACCCCTGATTTACAATATTTGCCAAGCAAAACAGAAACTTGATAGCTCGATCTTATTTTCAACGTATTTTAAGATAATTTTGGCGCCCACCTAACACTGGCACCCGGGGCAAATACCCCAAGCCCAGTACCACCGGCTAATACTCAATCGCCCTCTATGATGTTTCCTATAGTAATTTTATCTATATAAAGTCATGTGTCGTAGGAATGGAACTCGTTATAAATACTGAAACTTTAAGCTAGGAGCTAATGCAAATACTACAAACTCTGCAAACATTCTACATTATGTTATATTATAGTTTGAGTACCTAGTCTCTTGGTTTGAGGAAAAACCGTTTATTTTCTTCTTTATAGTGGTCAACTTTTTCGCAGTCTGGTTTTTTTATTGTTTCACATTATTTAAACTACCTATAACAGTTTTTATAACAGATACCAAAAAGTAAGTACTCCAATAGAGTATAAAATCCTGTACCGAATCTACCCTTCGCTTTCTAGTCTGCTGTTAGTATAACGATATGTTTAGAAACGCAAAGTTGATGTAAGTTATCCTTACCCAAATAATGCACATGTGAAAATATGCCATATAATAATACTTTCATAAATCCCCAAACTAATAATTGAAATAATAATAATTCTATGTTAAGTTTATTATATTTATTTAGGTTCATCTTATATTTTTGTGATAATATAACCTATACCTCGTAATAACATGTTAATTAATAGCTCTACTTACTAGTGTCATTGTGCTACTAAGATTTCAATTGTTTATATTTTTTCATATCTAACAGTTAGTGTAAATTTTAATATGTGAAAGTTTTATATTTTTGTAATTTTCAAATCCATTCAATAACATTGTTAAAATACAGTATTTTAAAATATCTAATTAAAGAAATATTAAGATTATTTTACCTGAATATTTTTTTACTTTGCTAATTATTAACAGTTATAATTTTCAAGTGGAGTGAAACCTTGAGAGGATTTTGTATCTCGTCTGCTGTGTAGAAATGATTAACTCGACATTCAAGGAATTAGCTTTTATTATTATTGTAACAAACACACTACTCACAAAGTACAACCTAGCCAAGCCAGCCTCCATAGTTCCATAGATAATCTCTAACCGACAATATAATATGCGCGGGCTGTCATTAGTGTTGCCCTACCACAACATGCTGTTTACGCATACTAATTACAATGTTTGAGCTTGCAGTATACGATGGTGAAAATTCGTTGTATTTGCTATGCAAAATGCAAAGCTTCATGTTCCTATTAATCGTAACATTATATCTACTCTTGATAAAATCGAATATATGATAAGCAAATATAATATTGGCGTTTGCGGGTTTCCCCAAACGCAATATTTGGTAAATTTCTTTGGCAATAAAATATTTGCTCTCGTAAATAATGTGGGGCAATAATAATAAACATTGTTGATGCCATTTTGTAAACAGAACAAAACTAACGCCACAGCGGCGAAGAGACTAAACTGTGCAACGAGTTTTTGTTAGCTGTTTTTAATATCATACCTTAGTCATACACAACATATCTCAACGTTCGATTAATCAGAAACAGAAAAGTAGTCCTTTCCGAATAACACAAACACAATTAATCTAGGACTGGAGTTTTATTTGTCAGATTATGTTTATACTTAAAAATATGAGTTTAAACAAAAGCGTGGCTTATTTTATTTCTTGCATTTTGTAACATTGACTTGAAAAATACATTTATTGGCCTAAACCACAGCGAGGCACCAATGGCGTGGGCCCATACCATGTGCTACTTTTGCTACGTGGCTAATCCGGCCCTGCATATCGTCAATAAACAAAGTTTCATTTATATATGCCACATATATCTGAAGTACCTGTTTCACTTGTCTAGAAGTTAAAGAGTACTTTTTTGATTTAGCGTTCATTGGTTGATATATCGTACATAATAATTATAGATGGGTGGAATTCCACGATCTTTATATTCGAATAATTCGATCGTATCAAGCATTATACTCAATTGAGTATAATGCTTTGATATACTCAATTGAGTATAATGCTTGATATACTCAATTGAGTATAATGCTTGATACGATCGAAAACTTAACGTTGGTATCGTTATTCGAACTTTTAAAAATTATAAAGAACTATGATGCAAAATGTTAGATTTTACATTATTTACGAGAGCTATACAGTCATAAGTTTTTGTAATAAATTATACATAAATTCATACTGCAATTTATGTTTATTTGGAGCACAGTATAAATACGTAATATTTAAGGACACCGCCACCTAGCCTTACACTGTACACTCGAGATGTAAAGTTGTAAAAGTTATATGATGATATTACAATATAAGAAATACATTATCTTGTATTATTTACGTCCATTACTTATAATCAGGGTTCGCTGATAAATATCGAGGGATATGTATCGTTTTATATTTATAATGCTTACTGTCAGTTTGAGTCTCAGCTAGAAAATTGTGACGCTGGCCACATTGGCCCGAAGTAGCAGTCTTACTTACAAGTCATTTCAGGTTTTCCCCTATATTACTGGGAATTCTCGCTCGCATACTACTTTTTAATTATTTTTTAATAGATAAACAAATATTAAATGATATTTATGGTTATTTTCATATTTATTATAAATATCTACAATTTATACAATAGAATTTAACTAAAATTTCAACAAATTAATATTAAAAATTATTTGGAGAAAGTGCTTTTTTATATTTAACTGTACAGTAGAGCGACGCATGGGTGTAGGGATTACTTATTATTATCACCTTAAACGTTTGAATTTATCAATTACTGTTGGACGGCGAAGCAAAAGGCAGATACGTAAAAACAGCAGCACCAATCATAAATACTTGCGTGCGTATCGGCAATCAATCACTTATGCAAATATTTTGTCCTTGCATTTGGATCAATGCTCATGTATATATACGGTTGCACGTCAGGCTACCACAATATGTCAAATTTATTTAATAGATTTTGACCTCTATCCTCAATAAATTAAAGATTAAAATCGAGTGAGGAAATTTGACAGTTTTGTATAGTCTGACCTGCAGTTGATTCTACCTACAGATAGCAGCATATCAGGTTGCTACAATAAGTTTTATTTAAGTCTAAAATAAAGCGGAGACAGTGACAGTTTAATGTTCTATTGACTGTATACCTCTTCCTTCTGACCTTAAAATAAAGTACTTCACAAAAGATAAAGCTCTTTTATATGTATGTATATTAAGTTATGTTTTTTTACTCTCACCTGAAAAAAACATAATTATTGTATGCAGAGAATTTACACTCGCAGTCGTAACTTTATAGTCGCCAGGAGAGAAAAAGAGTCTCACCGAATCCTGAGCGAACTCTGTACTTTGATGTTGGAGTTCGGTGAGGCTCCTTTTCTCTCCTGACGACTATAAAGTTCCGACTGCGAGTGTAAATGTAAATAAAAAAAAAGTATGTAAAAAAAACTCTGCATACAATAAGAATGTTTTTTCAGCGGTTTCTAATCTTTTTATATCCACTGAATCCTATGAAATCTAGGACACCTTCAAAAGCACAACCTCCAAATTAATAAAAAACAAATATACAATATAATACAAATATTATTGTTTAAATTAAATATCGTCTTTCGAAGAGCAGGCTTTTTATATAAAACATTAACAAATGTGAAAAATGGTGCTGGTATTTTGTAATCAGAATCAATTTCGCTGCTTATAACCGTAAGGACTAGAAAACAAAATTCTTATTTCATTTAAACACCGATTACAGTTGACCTCTATATACAGCTATACTATTTTATATGACATAAGAAAATATGTTTTTTTTTTTATAAAAGTGATTATGACCTTATGACCAATATACGAGTAGATTTTTGGCCGTTTAGTTTAGATATTAGTTGCGATTTATCCAGTAATTTTAAAGCCTAAGTAGGGGAAACAATCTTCCCTCCTTATTCGTATGTATAGATAATTATGCTAGTGTGCTATTTTATTATGTATTACATATTTGCGTAGGTATGTGGGTACCCAGCCTGCCGGTGACTATAGCCAGCGCTGTGTGCGCCAGCGCCGGTATCGCATGCTTATTTAAGTAAGTTCATATTTATATATTGAAAACAGGACAACTCTAAGCTTCAGCTTGACAAAAATATCACTGAATAATGTCTCATTAGTCAAATAGTTAACATATTTTGTACAGTAAGATCAAACTAATGTGGCACATGGTAAATCTTCGTTTCTCTAGCTATTACTCGATACGACATCTCGTGGAGTGGCGTGATGAAATAGCGCTATTTCGTTTCTTTTTACTACTTTGACGTGTACTTTAATAACGAAGCATAAATTGTAAAGAATAATGAATATGTCAGCAATTACAATAGCAGTGTTACCAACTTAGTCATCATCATCATCAGCCCTTTTACGTCCCCACTGCAGGAGCTCAGGCCTTCCTTATGGATGGTTAAGGAGGATGGGCCATGACCCTCCACGCTGGCTCAATGCGGATTGGAGGGTATTAACGACTGCAAATGCAGCCGGAACCAACGGCTTAACGTGCCTTCCGAAGCATGGAGTAGCTCGAGATAATAATTTTTTGGTCACCCATCCCGTGACCGACCCTTGCGAAAGTTGCTGAACGACTACGATCACGGGCCGCGGCGCTTATCCACTACGCCACCGAGCTTCTCAACCAACTTAGTAATTATCCCAAATTAATCCACCAAAAGCCAAATTAGTAGAATTATAGGTGCGAAATATCGTCATAATATTCGCTAAAATGTCGTACCCTGTAGTTAGGCGGCCACTCTGCTAATGTACCAATACCAACTGTGACGACACGTACTATTAAACTTTATAGTGAGATTTGTTTCGTACTTGCGCAGTTAGAATTTGTCAGAATTTAACCTTCGCGGGAGTCAAATCAGTTTTATCTTACTGTATCAGTTATAATATTCTTAACATTGCAACGAACCACTTTTTTGCTAGAGACTATTACGGCGGAAGTCCGTACGACAGATCAGTCACGGCTGATGGAAAGACGGTGATCATTACTGGCGCTAATACGGGTATCGGCAGGGAGGCAGCTTGGGAGTTCGCCAAAAGGGGAGCCAAGGTAATCTTCTTATTTATTTTATAATATAAAAATGAATCGCAAAATGTGTTGGTAAGCGCATAACTCAACAACGCCTGGACCAATTTGGCCAATTCTTTTTTTTAAATGTTCGTTGAAGTTCAAGGATGGTTTTTACGGCGAGAAAAATATGAATATATGCCGAAAAAACCGTAAAAACAGCCATTTTCTTTTTCTCATACAAACGTTTTCTAACTAAAACGTTGAGTCAATTTGAGCTCTATTACTATGGTATAAAGTTCATATTAAATTACAAGCACTCACTGTTATCTAAGCAATGTAGGTGTGTTCCTAACGTCAAAGAGTCAATTTGCACTTTATTACCGCTATACAAAGTTGAAATTCAATCATATCAATACAGTGTGCGTGTGTGCGTTGGAGCACAGAATACATCGTTGGAGGATTTAATGCCGCGTTCCGAAACTCAATTAAAGTAAATCATTAGTACTGATTTTCAATTTGGTCGGCTTTGCGATATTATTTCTTTTGTTTTACTTTCAGCACGCGACATAAAATGCATCAGTTTTCACGTCATGACATCAGTCAAACACAAACCGCGTTACCAAAAGTGTTTTATTATTTATTATTTTACACACATAAATAGTCAATTTGCACTTTATTACCGCTATACAAAGTTGAAATTCAATCATATCAATACAGTGTGCGTGTGTGCGTTGGAGCACAGAATACATCGTTGGAGGATTTAATGCCGCGTTCCGAAACTCAATTAAAGTAAATCATTAGTACTGATTTTCAATTTGGTCGGCTTTGCGATATTATTTCTTTTGTTTTACTTTCAGCACGCGACATAAAATGCATCAGTTTTCACGTCATGACATCAGTCAAACACAAACCGCGTTACCAAAAGTGTTTTATTATTTATTATTTTACACACATAAAAAATTGGTACGGCCTGAAAGATTTGATTCCAAGTCATATCAAATTTAAAAAAAGTTGAAAATTGAAACAACAACAAACTGTCGATGTTTAGTTAGTTTAAAAAAAAAACTAAGAAAAATAAACTGTCGATGTCAATTTGCCGGTGTGGAAGTATTATTTTCTTGGATTTTCTGTTACTTATTCTACTGAGTTTGCTTTTGTCAACTGATACTGTCTAATACACGAAACAAATTCGTATATCGTGTTTTGTGCAGAGTGTTTAGTTACCTATGATCACTATTTATTATAATAATAATATTGCATGTGACACAATAATTTATATTTGATATGCCTCCTATTTTTTGCCCCGACTATAAAATAAGTAGGAACAAATAACTGCCACATTACAAATCTTTTTGACAGGACGAAGTCTGTCGGGTCCGCTAGTGAATAAATAAATATTAGACAACATCACATACATTGCTCAGATGCCAATATCAGTAGCTAAAACCCCGGTATTGTGGAATATTTGAGGCAAAGAAGGTACCACAATACAGAGATGGCGACGTCTTAAAACCGGTATACTTATGACTACTTGGCTACGAAGGTCGTATGCACTTTAAACTTACAATAGGCGGACAGCAATGAAATAAAAAATTAAATTGTGTGTAAAATGTTCTTAAAGTTTAAAGATTATTTGCCGAATAAATTTGCTAAATAACAATTATTTATGTTTTTAAATCAATAAAACAATACATAATTTTTCAATATTTGTAGTCTGTGTCTCACGTCGTATGAAACACCAATCAGAGCGCGTGACGTCATTTTTGAGTAAATTGGTAGTAAATGTAACTAGGAAAAGCGCGGGAAACATTCAAAGTACAAAATAATTTTAATAATTTTTTTGATTAGTAACAAGTTACAAGGGTCAATTTACTGTTTTATTTATTTGTGAGTTTACATAAAAGTACTGAAGATGATCATACATTTTTCCACTGAAAATCTCTTTTGTTTACCCCATAAATTACGTCACGTAGCCTCCAAGATGCCGTTTACGCGGTTTTTAAACAGTTAAATTTTAAACTTAGTTTTGGGTACATATCGTGGTTAGTTTACATAAAATATATATTTTTTTGATAATTATTAATTTAAAATACTTTTTCGAAAGTTGTCCGATCCGCTATTAAGTAAAAATTTATACAAACACTACTTTCTTCTACATTGGGCTCTGTGATTCCACAAAACGACTCGACCTTAATCGATATATGTTTTAGGTGTTCATGGCATGCCGTGATATGGAGAAATGTGAGACCAGTCGCCGCGACATCGTGATGGAGACTAGGAATAAATATGTGTACTGCAGACCATGTGACCTCGCGAGCACAGAGTCCATTAGAAACTTTGTACAGACGTAAGTGTTTGATTAATACAATATACACATATCATATTATAAGATCACTAGCAGTTTTCTCGGCGATCAATGCAACAATGACGAACAAACAATCAACTCTTTCTACTTTTATATTATTATTGTAGTTAAGTATAAGATTCTCCCGCGAAATGTGAAAATAATGAATTCTATATATTCAATTGAATATACAGTTAGTATAAAACTTAAAAAATAGAACAGACTTAAAACTTAATTAAATGATAAATAATACTTATCTCAAAAGTAACTTATTCATGAAAATGCTATTGAAGTCGGGCGGAGGTGTTGTGTAGATTTATTAATCGAAAGATAGGCGGCGCCCCGAATTCAATAGCATTCATTTTCTTGAATTAGTCGTTTTTGAGATAAGTATTATATATCACTTTTTTTTAAATTTAAGTCTATTCTAATTTTTTAAAGTTTTTTTTTGGATTTTTAATGATATTGATATTTTTTATATAATAGGTAACACTGAAATCTTAAATACTAGAGTTACTAGCATAGCTGTCGAATTAAAAAAAAAACAAATTGCCGTCGAACATATAACCTCCTTTTGGATTTTAAAGTCGGTTGAAAACAAAACACGTATTCTTTAATGAAACTTGTCATGTCACAGACAGCCAGTCATACAAAACTGTAATACGAAAATAAAGTTTTTAATTATATGATGTTAAGGTTCAAATCAGAGGAGCCACACCTGCATGTACTGGTGAACAACGCGGGCGTGATGGAGCCGCCTAGGGGTGTCACCAAAGACGGGTTCGAGATTCAGCTGGGCGTCAATCACTTGGGACATTTCCTGCTCACCAACTTATTACTCGACACACTCGAGGTACTTACGAATATATAAATTATAGGTATACTACACAATAAATACAAGTTTTGAAAGTGCTTGATAGTATATTGCGGTATTTTCTAACTGCGGGGGTACGCTCTTGGAATTATTTAAAACAACTTTATAGTTCTTTTCTAGGTCTATGGTTGTAATTCTTGTGTAATGAACAAACGGCTAACGAAGTCCAATCGAAATTTAATAACAAACTTTATTCTTATAAGGACTAATGGAAGTCCACGCTCTGAATAGTCCTTAAAGGATAAAGTTGTTATCGAATATAGGTAGGTGCGTTGGCCGTTAGACATATCAGATTTTGAACGTAACGATATTTGGCTACCTACTTGATAGTGATGATGATAAATTATCAAATGTATTAAAAAGATAATTTATATGTAAACATTAACTATGTGGTATGTTACGATTAAAAATAAATTATAAGCAGGTATATTTTATTTTTGCAAAAATAGCTTGCCATTTATAATATGTAGATTACAAGAACGGAAACGTGGGTTATGACGGAGCATCATATGAAGTCATATTTCAATAAACTAAACTACAACGACTAATATTGCGAGTGCAGCCAGCACTCATGTTTATTGAAATGTGACGTCACGGCTCGAAAAATCACTTGACTGATTGTTTTCGCGAGACAATGAGGAAGTATTTAAAAAAAAAATAGTTCGTGAAATCGAACTAGATGCCGCTGCAGTACTTTCTTGATTTCTCCATGACAACCTTTCCGGTTTTCTTTCATATATTAATTAATTTATATTAATTTTGAAAACCCAATAAACACCTCATATTCTATTTGTTCTTTTCGTATTTGTATTAATATCTAAGTTTCGGAACGACTATCTTTGGTCATTCATTTCCTGCAAAAACCAACTTTTGCTAAAGTCGCCTTCTAGTAAGGTACTTTTTTAGTGCTTTCTTTTTTTTAAAAAAAACTTTTCCTCATTAATCTTGTCCCTCAAAAACGGTTATGCAGGCATCGTCTCCGAGTCGCGTGGTGGTGGTGTCAGGTAACGCGCACACTAAAGGCCACATCCACAAGTCGGACCTCAACATGACCAATGACTACAAACCAAACGCTGCGTACGCGCAGAGCAAGCTCGCCAACATGCTCTTCGCTAGAGAACTTGCGAGACGCACGCTAGGTACCTACACAAACTACCTACTACATTATTTACTAACAACATCTATTTGTATCAGTTAAACGGATTAGCAAGAAAACGTAAGCCCTTCGATTGATTCGTTTACCATAAACAACGTAAAGTTAAGTTAAAGAATATTTGGTCCTTCGAGCCGGAGTTCATTAAACAAACTAATAATAATATCAGTAAAACTTCTATATCTCTGTTTACTGGTAATTATAGCTTTTATATATATATATATATATATATATATATATATATATATATATATATATATTATCTAAGTTATGTTTTAGTAAATTCTTTAAGCCCTATTCACCAAGCAAGACTCTTTTTACCATCCACTATAAATAGAAGACAATAGAAGAGGGCTTCTATTGTCTTCTATTTATAGTGGATGGATTATACGATGTATAATAAATCAATGTTGTTCACGTAAACACCATCCAGATCTTCCAGCCTCCGTGCTGTCAAAAACTTTGGAACGAGTTTCACTAACACTGAATTAACAACAATGAATTTAAAAGCAGTTGTATAAAATATAATGTCACTTCCACCTGTAATCTTGCAGAGAAAAACATAGCCGTAATCGCCGTGGACCCAGGGTTCTCGGACACGAATCTGACGCGCCACATGCCCATGTCCAAATCCATGACGCGGTACTTCGTGTATCCGTTCTTCTGGCCGGTGATGAAGTCGGCCAGGATCGCGTCACAGGTGATAGTGCACGCGGCACTAGACCCCCAGCTGGAGAAGTGCACTGGAGACTACTATGTGTCAGTTTTTATAATTTTTATTTCATATCATACAACTGCTGAACTAATCTACACTACACTTAATATATGGGACACCCTGAACTTTAAAATGTAACGAGTTCATGCAAGCTAGGTGTCAACAAAGCCTTAGAAGTCTGGGACATATCAATTACTTTTATTATCAAGAGTTTTGAACTGCTTTGAATATTTTATTTATTAGATACTTTAATTAGTCAATTAAAAAAACTGTTAAAATTTTTTAATGATATTAGGTTATGAGCGCAAATCGTCTTGTTGAAAAAAATCAACAATTTATTATTAGCGCCATCTATGGACATTAAAAAGAATTGAACACTTCTTAAAAATATTTATTACTCCACAGGGGTATGAATAAAACTGATCCGTCCCAAGAAGCACAGGACTTCGAGCTGGCGTACTGGCTGTGGAAAGTGAGCGAGAAATGGACTAAACTCCACGAACACAAGGCGGAAATAGCTAGAGCACTCGCTGCGTAAACAAACACAGAGGGCGCTATTGAACGCGACAATAGCGCTAAACGGGTACAATGGCACCAAAAAAATAATTTAGGATGATGTTCCAACTGCATTTTGTTAAATTCGAGGAAGCTAATCAAGTACAGGGCTGGAAATAAGACTTTGATGACCAAAAAGTGAAATGAAAAGTTAGAAACATGAATAATAACTAGCTTTTTTCTACAATTAATGAGGATTATTTCTATTCTTATTTTGCCTGCGAATTATAATTCATCCTTGTTATTTTCATGTTGACAGAAATGTGACGATTTTGTAAGTTAAAATTTAGCCTTAATGTAGCTCCTAGTTGTTAGTTGAGATTGTAATGCATTTATATTGCCTCAGATTGCAATAAACGTATGATAAAATTTTTTGTTTGAATAATTTTACTGTTCTTTCATGGCCATAAACCTATCTAAACTTGCGTAATAAAACACGTATCCATATATACAGATTTATTTATTTACAAGTTGTTAGCATTAATTCAGTCCCATATGGAGGTGTGAAACTCTGGTCTGTCGAAGATCAGCTGTTGCGTGGGCGGTTGTACATTAGTGTGTGGGTGTTGATGCATCAGCTGTAACACGCCGGTGCCGAGCGCGGCGGGCACGCCCAGGATGATGGACTCGGACACGCCCTCGATGCGGTCGCACTGACCGTAGTACGCCGCGTCGAACAGGTGGTCCGCTGTCTTCTCGAACTATAAACACCACAGCAATTTAATAATTTAAAAAACTACATCACTAGCTGGCGCTGTGCCACGCGTAAATTACAGCCTTTATCAAAATTAAAAGTGTATTTTAATTGTGATTGTAAAAGGTTAATTTGTGTATAATAACGAGGACATTTATATTTAAGTAGGATATTATGGTCATCCTGTTAGATAATAATCTAATAGTTTATTTCTTAGAATCTGCAGACAAAATATGTTTAGCTTTAGTAAAATAACGTAAAGAAAAAGTGCAATATTTTTACGAATTGAACGACGAAAACCCCCTGTAATTGGTTGTCGTCGCAACCAATAACAGCTTGTTTACTGGCATGTGACGTCACATATAAACAGTAAGCTGTCATGTCAAAACAGGGTTATTTGAGATACGCAATTTTTTTGTATTAATACATAAAATTTGTAGCTCCTAAAATTTTACTTCGATTTCTCTTCTGTAATACTATTTGTTTACTTTGTAAATAAATAGTTGATAAATAGCTTATGTCACCTAGACATATTTATCGGCATGTGACGTCACCAATACCACGTGATCAGTGCCAGTACATAGAGCAGCGTTTTTTGCGCGATTTTGGTTATTTAAACTTTAACAATTCTTTCATCGAAAATAGAACAGATTTTCATGAAATAAATCGACAACGTATATAATGTATCAAACAACCATTTAAAAAAAAATCCAGAAAAGCGTTAAATACCCTATTCACGTTTCAACTGTGACAAAACCTTATTCTTATCTATATATTAATACGTGGAGCAAAAACTTTGGATCCTTTTTTACGAAAATTGCGAGGACGGAGGAGTATGAAATTTGGCACACTTATAGCTTATATGTAGGAGAAGTGCAAACGGCTAATATTTTTCAATAATAATGCTTATAAAGTACATTAAATCGATAAATAAAACATTACACACACTACTACGCATTTGACATACACAAATAAGTATTTGCTACACGCATACAGGTCCTCTGTGGTCAAATTGTTTCTTTTGACATAGAGTTTGTTTGTTTCTTTTGAATATTGGCTTCGCACGGTTTGTGCATTTAGCCAGTGTCAAGATTATATGTTTACCACAGACATCTAATTATATATTTAAGATATTTACTGTGGTCTTGCTAAATGTCAAAAGATTTATGTTAAATAACTTCTAATTGAAATTTATTATGGTCGAGTTTCGACCACTGGGCGACTACTTATATATTATTTAATTGTACAAAAACAAGTTGAAAAATGTAGTGTAGATGTATACTCACGCTGGCCAGGTTGAGCACGGACTCCTTCATGCGCGCGAGCCCGTACCTGGTGATGCCGAGCACCTCCCCGCGTGCGGTCATCTGCCCCGCCAGCAGCTCCACGTGCCGCCGGTCCACGCTCATGCCGTGGCCCGCCATCACCGCCTGGATCTCGCTGATGATCGTCGACTTGGCCGCCTCGATGCCCAGCGTCTGGTACACCTGACGGCACCAACCACCAACGTTACGTCTGTATATGCTTCCGATCGAATCGTGTAAGCGAAATGTGTAACGAATAACTAGTATATTGTTATACCTCGAGTATATTGTTGGAGGTGGTCTTCGTGCCGTCGACGCCGTATGTGGCCATCACGTCACGCAAACCGTCGCCCTCCACGCACAGCTTGTACCTACAGTGATATCAAGATATGTTCACTAATTGTTGCAGCAAAAAGTCACTCATATTGAATACCAAAGAAAATATTTATAAGATTACACACGAACCCTTTTTATACTAATATATAAAGAGGAAATATTGATTGTTTTGTTTGTTTAGATCGAATAGGCTTTCAGCTACGGGAAGCTACATCATACGCGGTGAAGGTAGGCTATATTTTTACCGGAAAAACAGCCAATAAATGGATAAAACTGGTAGTGACATTTTATATAGGTAATTAGAACGTTACCGTAGTAACCATTTGTCATAATATGAATCGATATCCAAATAAACAGTTCCCTATGGAGCACGCGGACGAAGCCGCTGGCGGAAAGCTAGTGTTTATATAAATGTGGAATGAATAGGGATGACGACTGAATAAAAAAAGAAATTTTATTTAGTCCGTCAGTTAGATAATAGAAAAATAATAGATACGTATTCTTTGCTTTAATTTAAACAAGAAACGGCTTAGATAACAGGCATTAAAGTTGAGGAGAGGAGGCTGGCTACGTCACAGTTTCGTACGTCACGTCATGCGTCATTTCAACTCAACGTATCGCCGTAATTAATTGATTCTCCATTAATCCCACCCGACGGTCACAGAAACAAAGATCAGGCGTTAGGTGTACCTGGTGGTGGGCGTGGAGTCGTCGAGGGCGATGACGGCGCGCGACACGCGCGGCAGCCCCTTCACCACCACGTGCGGCAGCTGGCGCGCCGCCTGCTGCAGCGCCACGTTCAGCCACGCCCCGCCCCCGCCCCCCCGCCCCGCCCCCACCGCGCCCCGCCTCCGCGCACACCTTGATCGCCCACTCGGACACCACTTGCACGTTGCCCGGCTTGATTTTCAACTTCGAAGTGCAGATTCTAGTGACAATATTTTTTTTATTAGCTCCGATTAAAAATTACTTCCTACCACAATAGATGATATTGTTCGACTCACGAGTATACGACCGAATGGACGTTGACCTCGAGGCAGAGCAACTTGATCCGCTCGGCGTCCAGTCTGATCAACAGGAAGCACTCGTTCGGTAGATACACCTCGTCTATGTACGTAGTTATCTGCGAGACAAAAATATATAAACTATTTTGGAAATAAAAATCATTACTGAGTATTTATAGTAATATAGTAATTGTTGAATTACGTATAATAAACTCGCTCGTTCTAAATTCACTATGCATTTTTCCTCAAGAAACATCTTTATCTCAGTAATCAATTTTTATTTTTCTTTCTTTGGGCAGCACATGGTAAACGTACAAATTATTAAGAGTTCTCCCTGCTCCCTCATCTGGAGCGATTGCACGTAATGTAATGTTACAGACTCCAAAATAACACCAATGTGGGAGGCCCAATATTTTGAGTATCTGAATATAAAGATCAGAACAAAGACTACAAAACCTATGGCAAGCATAATCTTTACCTCTCCCAAAGTGGTCTTCTCCACCCTGCCCTTGACCCTCCGCGCGTACTCCTGGTCGAGCGGCTGCAGCAGCTCGGCGGTGATGATGGGCGTGGAGATGTTGCGGGAGGCGTTGATGATCTCCTTGACGCGCGGCACGCCCTGCGTTATGTTCATGGACGCCACGCCCGCGAAGTGGAACGTCTTCAACGTCATCTGGGTACCGGGCTCCCCTATACTCTGGAAACGGTCACGCATGCTCAACGCTCGTCTGCCTGACTCGGCGAACTAATATCCTGTAACGGTGTGCCGTAACCACCGTTTATTTTTCCTAGGTTTCAGCATGCAAACTTTGTCTTTGATATTCAACATCATTTCTTTTTATTATTCACCTTTCGTAATTTAAAATTTTGACTCATCAAATATATCATTCTCAAGCTAGCCAACCTTGCATTAATTGGCCCAAGCACCGAACTCGTCACAGACCTATCTATAGGGAGAATGGTCCAAGAGCTACCCACTGCGGATCCAGTTAAGATAAAAAAACTTTGGTCACCCATCTCGTAACCGGCTTTTGTAAAAGTTGCTTAACCACCGCAAGAGCTACTCGAGGCGGCAGGGACTCCAGTATACCTGTGCAGCGAGCGCGCCCACGGCGGTGCCCGGCTCTATGACGGAGCGCTGGTACTTGTCGTGGCAGGTGCGCAGGAACTGTACGAGCTGCGTGAGACTGAGCCGCTCCAGCTGCAGGGCGGCCGCGCCGCAGCCCGCGTACGCCGCGCGCACCTTGCGCACTTTGTCCGCCACGCCCTTCAGGAATGTTCTGCGAAACGGAAATCGATCTTTTGCTAGACCACGTAGCATACGTCGCTCAGGTGCTAAATGAGAGAGCTTAAACCCATTGGAAGATTAAGCGGGCGTTTCCGCCCCGGGCCTCTTGTCCTGGGGGGCCTCCAAATGGTTACAAGTCTCCCAAGTCATGATCAACGCAATAGGGTATTCTACTCCGTTTGAAATAATACTTTTAATTGTTTATTTTAATTTATAATATTACCCGCGAAAACGCTATCCGTGATGACGCAAATATATATGCATGACGTCTCTGTGATTTGTACACAAGACAGATGCATAGAGTACAAGATTAAAAGATGTCAATAAAACAAGAACATATTTTTATGACTAATCTGACAGTTGTCGCGACAGTGACGTCACATAATGTCGGGACGTGTTTCAAGTCACGTGACACACAGACAAAAAATCGCGTCTTTTTTAAGATAATAATATAATCATGCGATTATAAGACTCAAAATCAAAATTTCTATGTTTGGTAACTTTTTAAATTTTAGTTTTTATGCAATTTTATGACTTATTTTTCACAACAGAAACTAAATTACGCTAATAAATATAAAACATCAACAACAATGCAATTCTTCTGCAGTATAAAGTTATGAAATCAACATAAACCAAATGGAATAATTCAGTACCTATTTTCTGTGAGAGCAGCTATCCGACCTTGTCATAGACTTAGGAATATTTATAATTAATTTTTTAATTGTTCGAATTCTATTGAAGTGAGTAAAATGAAAGTTCGTAGTATAGAAGTCACTAATTAGTCCCGTTTACGTTATACGTTTTCGTCGTTATGAAGGCTAGACGAAAAAAATCTATGAGTACCCTGAATGCTGTTGATCCAACAAGAGACAATAGTATTTTATTTTCGTTTCTTTGGAATCGTTTGAGAAACATCTTATCCATGTAGCCATCCATGTATATTCCCATTCTTACGTTGCCGAGTCGAAAACGTTCCATTGGACTTAACGCCAATATAATTTAATAGAAAGTAGATTGTAATTTCCATGTCAAAGGTAACAAGGATAACATGTCAAACCATAGGTTATACTACAATTTTCATTATATTTAAGAAACAAACCTAGGCTTAAGCCAATGAAAAAATAAATCGCTGATAATAAAAAAATATTTGAACCACTCACAATAATTCCGTTTTGAACTCCTCGGTGCAGTTCTTGAAGTCGTCTAACGCCAAAGTCTCCTTGGCTGCCAACTCGATGCCATCACCATCTAGCGGCTCCTCATCCCTGTTGACATTGTGCAATAAAAATACTTGTTACTATTATTTTAAAAAATATTTGGTTAGTGATAGACTAGTATCATCTAGTGAAAATGAAAATTCCATTTCCTTATAACTTGAATGCTTCGGAAATTTTGCGAATCCAAAAAGTTGTAGAGTCTGTGGGATTCGAACCTATGACCTTTCGCGATCTCGCAGGAGCTAACAAGACTGACGTATCTTTCAAACACTTGTTACTTTTTCGCTACCACAGAGTGTATTCTCATCAATGTTCAGGCAATCAGCCGAAAGATATATTTTTACAAATATGTTAACTTTCGATAATCTGTTTTAATTGATCAATTTCGCATTCACAACGCTATATGAAATGAAATGAAAATATCTTTCTTCAAGTAAGCTTGTTACAAGCACTTTGAATCGTCCAAAAAATTTTTTCCCCTTCCACTTTTTCAGGACGTCTTTTAGCTGACAAGAAGAACAAGCGAAAGAAACTTACCAGCTCTTTATTATAAGTAATGACCAGTGGTCGGAATTAGGTAGAGTTATTCATGTACTTACACTGATTTCATACAGCGAAGGAATAAAGTGGATATCTATCTATCTATCTATATGCCTCAAATCCCGAGATTAATTTTAAAGAGCAGAAAAAATCCCGTGATTTTTAAATAAAAAGTTATTTACTTTTATACAATTTAAACTACTGCACGCACAACGTTGCCAAACTTACATCAATGACATCGGATGTCCAAAGTCATAATAATTTGTATTGTAAATTAATGTAAACTAATAAAATTTTTATGTTAATTATCTTTGTTTTATTTGTCTATCTCTGACGTTGTTATTATTATTTAGTTGTAAGATTGTTGGCCACACGGGATTGTCCATTAGAAATCCCGGGAAGGTCCACATTAATATCAACATTTCGATGCAAGTACATAAATTACTCTACCTAATTCCGACCTCTGGTAATGACATTTACATAAATTATGTCGTTACCAAAATAGTATGTATTATAACAATAATAAATACAATTTTTAAAGTCTGTTAGTCGGCACCCACCTGTTGGACTGCAGCGCCTGCACGTGCGTGAGCACTCGCGGCAGGTGCACGGGCCGGTCCTTGCCCTCCATGCAGCTGGGGTCGAGCCCGTCCGAGCCGTACCGGAACTGGACCACCTCGCCTGTCGCGTTGCGGACCGTCATGTCGTAGTGCAGCACCAGATCCTCCAGCGACTGTATTTTAATTTCAACTCATTTTCATATTTGTGTTATAGAAAAATAGCTTAGAAAGTTACAAGGTGTGCCTTAGAAGTGTTGTTCGTGCCAGTAGTCAGGCACGCCTAAATAGAGTAGGTGTGAGACGTAAAAGAGGCGAAAGGGGCGTGGCTGCGGACCCAAGTTACCGTACATGAATACATTTATATCAAAAGTAAAGTTTGTTAATTAATCCACTCACAAATTTCACTCTTAAATTTCATATAATAGAGACAATTAGAGTTGGGAGATATTTAATTTTTTGTAACAAGAATGGCACATACGTGTGCAGCGCGAGGCTCTTACTTCTTTCTACACTACAACTTTTATTTTAAATACGCGTATTACCAATAAGCAAATGTGAAATAGATTGAATAGAAAAAATTGCGACATTGATGAATGCTTAGACTTAAATTTTTACACTGTAACATAGTGCGAATAAATGCCGCATACTTCAAAAACATTTCTATCGAACGTTTTACATATATACATTTATATGACGCTTCAACCACTGACCTTGACCAATCTCCTCTGCAAGTATCCAGTCTCGGCGGTCTTGACGGCGGTATCGACGAGTCCCTCGCGTCCGCCCATCGTGTGGAAGAAGAACTCCGTCGGTGTCAGGCCAGAGTAGAAACTGTTCTCCACGAAGCCACGAGCCTCAGGGATTTTGGCTGTTCATCGAAATTATACCTTAACTCTGTACATTCCAAGTGCTTTTTGCATGTCATCTATGTCCCTCTAATAATATAATGTCCTTCACTCCCGCACGTAATTAGCTACTCGACAGTTACAACAATCAATTATGAAATACTAGCTTTCCGCCAGCGGTTTCGCCCACGTGATCTTGTATTATACATAAAAATCTTCCTTTTGGATCACCCTAACAATGAAAAACAATCGCATCAAAATGCGTTGCGTTGTTTTAAACATTTAAGCATACATAGGGATATAAGGACAGAGAAAGCGACTTTGTTTTATACTATGTAGTGATATTGGAAACATTAACTTATATGAAAACAATAAATATGTATTACTTTTTGTTTTAAAATAAATCTTATATTTTATAATGTAAGCGTCAATATCTCTCTTGCGAGTGCAACCAGTACTCATGTTTATTGAAATGTGAAGTAAGGGCATGAAATCAAACGTGAGTGATTGTTTTCGAGGGTTTGTATTAATTAATTAAAATAAGTTTTCCCTTCAAATTTTAGATAAAGCCCGTGAAAAGTAACGAAGTGTAAAAATTCTCATTTAAAGATAAATACATGAATGATTTATCATAATAATGAATTAAACTTACAATGTCTCTCGAAGTGTGGCAGCGAGCGATCTTCGAACCCGTTAGGCACTCGCTTACCGTTGAGCGCTTGTTGTCCCACGCACGCTATCATCTGTGATATGTTGATGTTCGAACCTGACGTATACACACACTCATGAATATGAATACTTACTGACTGACTATCATCGAACAACACAAACTACTGGAAACTCTATTGTACGCTATTCGCTGGGTGCAAAGTAAAAGGTGGGGGAACCACGAAACGATCGCAACGCGCACCGTGGCGGAAAAAGGAACTGCAGCTGGACGTACCATTACTTTTACTAGAGGAATGATTTATACGTGCATTTTAAATAAACATGCGCCATGAAACAAGCTGCGTAATCGATGAGGAAGGAAGTAAGTTTTTGCAAACAGTGATCGATGTCGAGAGTAACAATAAAATTCCTCAAAACTTGTTTTGCCGTATTGGTAATATTTTGTATATTTCCCATTTTATTAGGAAATTTACAGTCCTCAATATTTTCTAAGGAATAAATAAGGAGTAGTAAAAAATATTGACTATTATTATTATTACATTATTATCGAGTAAATATATAGTGATTTACTGGATCAAATAGATCTTGAGTAAATTACGATGTTTTATTGAAATTATTGTTTGTTTACATAATGTTCGCACTGACCGCCAGCCATTTGGCATTGCAAAGGCCGACGTCATTATAACCGCTAGTTGGCGCCGTCATCGCGCACCGAGCGAATAAATGCAATTCAATCTTTAAGGCATTAAAAATAGATCTGAAAATTTTCATGGAACTTTATAAAAAGTCTTGAAAATTTCCAAGACAAATAATTATTGCTTCAAAAAGATCACTATCAAAATTAAATGGTATACTTTATATTTTACAAATATCTCATACCTTTAGATCCGCTCTGTGCCATTATCAGCGGAGCATTCGTGGGGTGGAGCTCCCGGAAACAAGCCTTAGCAGCCAACTCTCTGAAATAAACGGTATTTACAAACAGACATAGCAAAATCACTAACGCCACCAAGATTCGATACAATATATAATATAATTTGTTATGGGGTCAAATTAAACCCTAACCTTCCATAGTTGAATGCTATTATATTTTGGAAGCTCGGTGGCGTAGTGGATAAGCGCCACGGCCCGCGATCGTAGTCGTAAAGCAACTTTCGCAAGGGTCGGTCACGGGATGGGTGACCAAAAAATTATTATCTCGAGCTTCTCCGTGCTTCGGAAGCCACGTTAAGCCGTTGGTCCCGGCTGCATTTGCAGTCATCAATACCCTCCAATCCGCATTGGGCCAGCGTGGAGGGTCATGGCCCATCCTCCTTAACCATCCATAAGGAAGGCCTGAGCCCCTGCAGTGGGGACGTAAAAGGGCTGGTGTGGTGGTGGTGTGGTGATATTTTGGAAAATATTATAATTACTGTCGCTGAGCAAAAAGCAAATAAACCTTTAGGGTGCATACAGTTTGTACATATTTAATTTTGAACTCCAAATACTGTCTGCACTGAACTTTATCTTGCAGGATGTGCCTTATTATTACGACTATACAATTTACTTCGTGGTTTAATATATAAATATTGATTTTCTAATTGTCAATAACAGCCAATGAACTGATTGTAGTTGGCACGCATACTGTACCTGATGCTGCTGAGCTCGCTGAGCATCACCGCCTCGAGGGTCTCCTCCATAGAGCATCCCGGCTGGCACTGTAACGTTCCTTTCTCCATCTCCAATATGTAACCGTCGCATTTAGAATACCTGATTACCCAAACGAATTCATAAATAATATCTATCACCAAAGTAATTGAAGTTTGGGGAAAATTCCCTGTTCATCCGTGTTACACATATGCCCTTATTCATATTTTCATGTGTAACTCTTTTAAAAGTATTTAGACAGTGGCAGAGTACTTAGCTCCTGTACTGTATCTAGAATTCATTCATTCAATGTATGTTCCGATATACACTGCGAGCACTGCGCAGTGGTCTTACTGTTGAAAAATCTGTTCCGTTATGGACTGCCAGTACACTGCTACAGTACCCTAGGGAAATTTATGACGTCATAAATTGACGCCATATTTGTACTGTGAGCACTGGAGATTTCGAGGTAAAGTGCTCGCAGTGCTTTTGATCACGTGATCAGTCGAAACAGAATCAGAAAATGATAAGTTTCTAAATAAACAAAAAAAATACTTACGTTTATTATAAGATGGATTTAATTGATAAATAATTTATTTATACACAATTTTATAATATTTTCTTTTGAAAAGAGGGAATCTTTATTTATATTCACCTTGCATTAACAAATTTGAAAATGGCGCCAAAAAATAGGATTGACAGTATACTGGACAGCGTTCCGTTTTAAAAAGTCACCAGTATAACTAGCTATAAAGGAACGGGCTTCCAGTATACTAAATTGACGCCATACTGTTCAGTGGTCGCAGTGTATATCGGAACATACCCTCAGTCAGTAGCTTACCGGAACCAAATTGTACAAAAATTACAAACTATTATAACTTTACATGTAGAGCAATAAGGTTCATTATTGGATTAGTCATCAGAATCGGTGTTTGTCAGCATTGGCCTGCGCCAATTTATTATTATATTTCCTTGGTACTATTTTATAATTATAAATCAGCTAGAGGTTATATATAAACATATCGTCACTGACAGTATAAATAAATAGATCTTCGTTTTTATGTGTTCTAAAATTAATTACGATTTTCTTGGTAATAAGCAAATTGCAACTAAATCATACTACAATGTCGCTCTATAGTAACTAGAAAGATAAGCCACACACTTCACCACTATAACTAGTAAGTGATAATGTTTTTCTCATCTGGTGTCCATGGAAGATCAGCGTCGAGGTATCTTAGTGACATCTCAGCACTATTCTGAATGGATACCTTTTTAGGGCCACGGTGTGTCTTTATTTATTCATAAATTTTGTTATTTGTACATTGTAGGGTTGCTAAATATTATAAAATATTATTAATATTGAATTATTATTATTATTTATAACTTGGAACATACCCGGTTTGTAGCAACTTGTTCTTAGCTTCTATGAGCCGTCGTCCCGGCGTTACGTCGATGATGCCGAAGCTGAACCCGCGATTCATCATGTAGTAGGACGCCATACGAGCCAACCTACACCAACAATTGATACATATACCGAAGGCACACTAATGTAGGGCAGCAAATAACAAATGCAGCAGAGACTAAAGCTGGGCATTGTCTAACAAAAAGGTTCTAACAGATGGTTGTCGTTTAAAGCATTCCAAGTGGTAAGGCGTGATTTTGGTCAATGTCCATGGTCAAAGTCCATGGTCAAATTTTTTTTTTATCGAATGGTCCCTAATGATGACTGAAAGGTTAAGAACTACTGGCCTAACATACAACCATAGCTTGTCCTTGGCCTTTATTGAGTAGAGTAGGGAAGATGTTATATCAATACCATAGTACCAAAACAATTTATTCAAAACTACCCGCAAATATATTTTTAACCTTAAACCATACGACTTAAAGTTTTAAATCTATTAAGAAGATGCACTTTGTAGTAATTTGGTGCGTAATCGAGTTTACAGTAATAATGCAAGTTACCTCCACATAGATCTAACGGCGAACTCCTCTCCCCAGTCTCGCAGCAGTATATAGAATATACTGGTCTTGGTGCCGGACCCGAGGGTGCTCTTGTCCATAGAACCGCAAATCAGTTCAGAGTTTCTTATTATAACATCTAAAATATTTTCATTCTGTTTAATAGGTGTTTTAATATAATATTAAAATATATTAGACAAAACGCTACTCAAAGTAATTTTAAATATTTGTTATTGTACACTGTGTGTTATTTTAAATGCAATAAAGGGTATTATCGTGATCAACTCACACGAGTCCTGTACGCACAAGTCGTTGTTGCCAGTATAGTTCTTTCCTTTGGTCTCCAGATTAGCTCGCACCTTGCATTTCTTATTCGGTTTCATAATCAAACTAAAAAAAGAGTAAAGCAACAATGAATTTTAAAAATGCATAAATGTCTACTCAACATAGTGTTACTGGCCTACCATGGTTATGTAAGCTCCATATTACGATATGGCTTATTACTATGGGGAAATTCTACCGATTCTGTTCGGGCTTTTTTGTCTCAGAAAAAATGTATAAGAGCTATAGTGGGTATTCCTCCATATGAATCTTGTAAAGAATATTTTAAAGAACTTAATATATTGCGGCTAACATATATGTATATTTTTGAAACAAGAGTTACATTATATTGCAATTTAAGAAAAAAATTAAAATGTAGTTATAAGACAATATGATATATTCGATACACAACTGGATAAACGACAATAAATAATAAAATATAGAAACTTGAGTCTGACAATGATAATAATGTTTAAAATAATTAATTAACAATAAAGACGACATTAAACAATAATAAATACTGTGCCATAGGATATTAAGTAATGAAAATTGTATTTAATTTAATAATTGCATGCTATCTCTGTATGGCTAAATAAGTTTAAAGTTCATATTTTATTTTAATTAATTACTTACTATCAAATGGTACTCTAATTCTTGTACTGGTACAATGGTACTTTAATAAATAATGGTACTTTAATCTGGTAATTAAAGGAGCAGTTTGATAGTCTGTTTGCCACCAGACTGTTTCTCATGAACCATGAAAGTTATACAGTTGTAAATTTCACAAATGATGTATTTCTGTTGCCGCTTCAACAAAAACCACAATAAAAACCAGAACCAAATCAACATTTAAGGCTCTCATACAACGAATGTTATCTGTTTGCTGACCTGAATATCTGTTTGCCCGTCCACAGCAGCCGCGGCTTGAGTATGGCCGGCGGCGGCATGTGTATGGTGAGCGTGGCGTCGGGCCCGGCCAGCAGGCAGGCGGCCAGCTGCTGCGCCTCCGCGCGCGTCAGGAACGTGTCGCGCTGCGTCAGCAGGTACCCGCCGGTTATGAAGTCCTGCGTCGCCGCTATCAGCAGCTCGCCGTTGCGGGGCGTCACCAGGTTAGATTTGTTCTGGCACAAACGGACATTATTTGTCTGTATTAATGCGCTGTTGTCACTGAGACTAGGGTAGTTTCCGTTGTGAAATATAAAATTTAAATTTACACCGTAACAAACATTGAGATTGTGATTTTGAATCTAATTATAAATCGTGACTTGAAACACGACCCGCCATTTTGTGACGTCACTATGGCGACAACTGTCGGATTAGTCATGTCATAAGGATATGCTTAATAAATAATTATAAATCAACCTCCAAGATAGCGCTGTTCTTAGCTTATTTATATATTTGATTTCGAAATCGATCACTATGTGGCATTATTCTTGTTTTATTTACATCTTTTAATCTTCTACTCTGTGCATCAGTTTTGTGTACGTATGACAATGATGTCACGAATATAACGGAAAGCGTTTTCGCGGGTATAAAAAAAAATTTAAACTTTAATTTAATGTCAAGGAAGAACACGTGTCTATTTTTTTGAAATATTTGTTATAAAAGACTTAAAATAAACAGATACAAGTATTATTTAAAACAGTAGAATACTCTATTGGCTATTTGACAGCTGTAACAATTAAATATGAAGTATGTTAAAAATTATAACTTACATATATGTAAACGATAACTATGTAGTATTATTTTAAATTAAATTGTAAATTTATTTTATCTATGAAAAATCAACTTGCGATTTATAATCTGTAATCTGTGAATACAAGAACGCAGGCGGCTATGGCGGGGCATCGTGTGACGTCACATTTTAATAAACGTCAACGACTTTGTGGTGATTGTAACCAATTCTCATTTTTATTGAAATGTGATGTCATGGCTCGAAATGTCACGTGAGTCGTAACTGATTATTATTTTCACAGGACAATTTAAATTAATGAATGAAATTATTTTAATCCTTTATTTTGATAACTTACCCCCATAAGTATGAGAGCTTCAGCTCGGGCCTCCTCGGTCTGTGGCAGATGCATGTTCATCTCGTCACCATCGAAGTCAGCATTATAAGGTGTGCATACACATTCATTGAACCTACAAATATTCATACAAATTTTATTAAGATGTACTTAGTGATATATCAGTGACAATATATCGATACTTTCAAATGTGATGGTCATTATTGCTCATCTATGTGTTGATAAAATTCGATTTTGGTTGGCAATACACGTATACACGAAATCTTCTTAACATACTACTGCTTTATTTTCATTAGAGTAAAAAAAACTAATACTATTAATTGGGGATCCCACTTCTCAACCATTTTACTTAATAAATATTGGTAAATTATTTAACTGACAAATAAATGTGTAATCAACGTATGTTATGGTATTAACCTGAAAGTCCTCTGCGGTTGCACCTTCGCCCTGTGCGCCATGATGGAGAGCTTGTGCAGGGACGGCTGACGGTTGAACAATACTACGTCGCCGTCCACCAGGTGGCGCTCCACGATGTCTCCACACTACGGGATAAATACACAGGAACAATTTTATTTACCATTATCATTTGCTTGCTCTGGTCCTTTAACCAAAAACGAGTACGCATTAATGTCACTCATATTACGACGACAATCCTTTGTACAATTATTTTACCAGCAATATACCGATCGTGCGTTTCAATGGGAATGTTATTAAACACGTTTTTTGATTGTAATGGAGTTTCACGAGCTTCGACAATGACACTGACATATCGGTATGACGTCACACGGTTTAAATTTTTAACTTAGAGTCACGTGTCACGTGTTAATTATTAAAAAAATCCTAATTTGGGAATAATAAAGGAAAAATAAATAGATTTGATTCTTTGATTGCATCGATTTGATTCTTTGATTGCATCGAATAAGCTCCGAAACTTCTGGAACGATTTTGAACATTCTTTCACCTATGGGTACATATTCTTTCTAGCTACATCACAGGCTTCAATTTACGCATGCGAAGTCGCCGGATAAACAGCTAGTATATAACACTGTCACGATCTCGTCATAGTTGTACGTCACCTTGAGTTCCTGCGCGATCTTGTCCCGGTTGCCGTACTTGAGGTACTTCTTGTGCTTGAGCCCTCGCTGCTGCACGTAGTTGGCGCCGGGATGTGCGTCGGGCCCGTTGCGCACGAGCTGCCGCAGCCACTGCAGGTTCGCGGGGAACACGCGCTCCGGATACGTCAGGGTCTTGGCCACGTGCACCGGCACGCCCACCTGGGGGGGGGGGGGAGCACACACGAAGGTTTACGTATGGCTGATTATGATCAATCATAATGCAAACAACTTCTACCGTAACCCGTTAAATGTAGTCTTACTTCCTGAATTTGAAGATTGGGATCGGGTGAGATGACCGTTCTGCTCGAGAAGTCCACCCGTTTCCCGGACAGGTTGCCACGGAAACGACCCTGCTTGCCCTTCAACCGCTGCACCAGGCCTCGACCTGGTTTCTTTGGCTGTCAAATCACAATCTTTACTTTACGGAACAGTCACATCTCCCGGCACGGCAATATTTCTGCTTTTTAAAATTATTCTCGGGATTTGAGGCATATCCACTTTATTCTTTCTCTGTATGAAATCAGTGTAAGTACATGAATAACTCTTCCTAATTCCGACCACTGCTTATCACGTATACTAAAGTAAGGCATTATTAGTTATCCTAATCTTGTGTTAATAAAAAAATATCATCAAAGTAATATACAACTGGTGTGATTTACTGATGGACCTGCGCAGAAAGCTAAATTTCGACTAATCAGTTTGATTCAAGTATCGCGCCATTCGGGCGATCCACCAATATCGAAGTGTGTGTGAATGAGTGAGACGGATACCTAATGTTTTGTATTTTACATCTTATGATTATTGAAATATGACTCATTATTCATTTTAATCGTCGGCTTGTAGTAGACGTCGGTCGGTATTATTTCCTTGTTTGAATATTGTATTAGAATAAAAAGTAAAAATACTGTAGATACTGCTTATATAGTTAAAAGTCGGTGCTTAACCTCCAGGTATAATTTTTATCAAAACTCTTTTTGTTAAGAAAAAAGGTATCAATGATTTATTTTAAGAAACAACAAAGGCAATATTTAAATTTGTGTACAAATTAATTTACAAAGCTCAGTGGTAAATGCATAAGCTCCAATCTCCTGGTACCAACTCATATCATCATACATTTATGGGATAAGCTTGCACTATTCCAACATATCTTATATTACCTGCATGGACAGCGGTATTCCAGACAGCTCGCTGTTTATATAAAGCGCCGCGTGCAACTGTAAGTAGTCCCAATCTTCTTGTATCAGTTCACACTTCCCGCCGCTAGCTATGTGCCTTGCGATCACGTCGTTGATTAAAAGGATCTCAGATTGTTTCATCGTGAGGTCGTCTTCATTTCTGTCAAGTAAATTTAAGCGACGAAATATTTTATATGGGCGTCAATCTCTGAATCGAATAGCGAGCTTGTCCATTTGAACATTTTAGGGCAATTGAATATAATATCATAGATAAACATACATTAACTATATAGAACTAAGAAAAAAAAGTAGTCTGTCACAAAGAAATTTATGCATGAAAAAGGTCAGATAAAAAGCAGTTCGAACTTACGTTCCAGCTTTAATATCTGAAGCCACGCTGGGTCTAATGCAGAGCGGCGGCACAGGTAACCGCGTTAAAATCAGGTCCTCAGGACGTGAGAGCCTTGAGTTCATACCCAGGAGAGCGATGTCCTCCTCGGGAATACGTCGAAATAAACTTAGAACCTGCGATAAAAATAGTGCATCTGTGTATAGTGCCATTGAGATTTAAACTCATAGTGAATATGGAAAAGTTACTATTTTTCAACTGCCCGATTTCTCAGGTACTTGTAGCAGCACAGTAATGAGTATTTGAGAAGTTCGACAACCACATTGTATCTCTCGTAGCTTAGTTAGAAAAATAGTTGCTTACTAATTTGAGTCTACTGGACTCAAACCAGTTACAAACGTTCCAATCTGTCAGATAGAATTGGATTTTCAAAGAATTTCAAGTTTATAACTAACTTAATTTCAGATAACTGACTGTGCATTCAATGAATACTGTTTGTTCTAATAATGGTCCCAGTGCACTATCACATGAAAACGCCGCGCGACTTAGAAGTGCTACAGTAACACCACTAAAACTCTATATGAAAAACATTCAAAATCAATTAACTGTTGTCAAAATGCCTTACCTCTAATGGGCTCATTTCAATAATAAGCCCGCTGTTGAGCATTGTTGCCAGCTCTTTATTTGATTCCTTCGCTTCATAAAAATCTTTCAGCACCCTCTTTACTAATGGATCTGTTGGTTTCTTTGACCGGTACTTGTCATGGATAATCTTCAGAATCCCTCCAGAACTCTTCTTTACGATGCCATTCAATTCATTGCAGGACGGACACTTTGTGCATGTCTTTGATTTTTTCAGAACTGCAGCACGCAAATTCTTTTTGTGTAAGTATGTTAGTTCAGGGTTCATAAACTTGCGGCGAAATATCTTTTTTCTACTTTCAGGCAACATCACTTTAGCACATTCCTGTATTGAAATAAAGATGCATACAAAAACATTCCAATAAATATATTTATTCATAAGTTCGAAAACTACTAAACAGATTTCCATGACACTTTCACCAATTAGTCAATGCAGAGCGTATAATTCATTTAGGTAATGTATGACTCAACTTGAAAGTTGAAAATTTCACAATGAAAAATCTTCAGTGGTAGTCAAAAAGAAACAAAGAGCAGTTCATAACTTACTTTGCAGATTGTTTGTAGTATAGTAATGATGGATCGGAAATAGCCTACATGAAATACTGGTAAGGCGAGCTCTATGTACCCATAGTGGCCCACACATTCTGCCAGTCCAAGGCCACAAGTCTCACAGTTAGCATCTTTTTGATTAGTGCCCTAAAAATAAGAATGAGAGTAAGGATTTGAGTTTGCATGTTTTGCCAAACAAAAAAAAAAGTATATAATTTATTAACAGTATATTATTTAAAATGACAGTGTTTACAATTTCATGAGGTCAGAGGAAAGCCAGGAGTTCCATAGAATGGGGTCTACCCAGTTTGGACTTCTGTCTTCTACATAAACTTGCTGTATTAGTAGGTATGTGGTAAGTGTTGCTCTAAATGTACAGGAATTAATTAAAAATTTATTACTATTATTATTATGTATGTCACTGTGACATTGTAAGTATTGTCAGTTTATAATTGTACTAGAATGATTGTAATTTAACTTAACCTACAACATTTCCCCACTCCATCAAACCAGCATCATGATGTTAGCTGGCTACTATAATTAAAATTTTAAAATAATATTGTTGAATTTGTTTTTAATTTATAATACTTTCTTTTTTAATGTACGGTAGAATTATAGGGGATACATTCCAAGGTTCCTAAAGAAAAGCAATATATATATGCTAAAATAAATCCAATTGAGGTTATTAGAATAAACAACTCTGAATTAATTTAAGTACTAATCAAATAACAGATTTTAGCTGCGCATACAAAATTGGGTTACAATTTTTTCCCCTGCAAATACTGAAAACGCGAATAAGGAAGCCACAAATAAGAATTTTGTACTGTACGAGGGTGGATTGAAAAGTTCACGGCCTCAGCAAGAAAACAATATAAAATATAAGCAAAAGTAATTTTATTTTTCTACATAATCTCCACTTAACTATATGCACTTCTTGCATCTGGCTTCCAACTACCTGTATCTATGGTCAGGTCAGGTCTGGTCATAAAAAAAGTTCGACCAGCAGCTTCAACCTCCTCAATTGATGAAAATTTTTGATCCCCAAGGTGTTTTTTTAGGTTTGGGAATAAATAAAATTCTGAAGGTGCCAAATCAGGGGGAATAGGCGGGATGGGGCAGTAATTCAAAGCCACAAAATTTACATTATCCTGATGGAACAACACTTGCTGAGTAATCCTGGCCTTTTCTCTTTGATTGTTTCGCGCAAGCGACGAAAGAGGGTGCAGTAATAAGCTGAGTTTATAGTTTCATCTTTTGCAAGGTAGTCCACCCTTAACATCCCAAAAAACTGATGCCACCTGACAAAATTGTTTTAGCTTTTTTGGAGTTGGTTCATCACATTTTTTCCACTACTTGGATTGCTGTTTTGACTCTGGAGTATAGTGGTGTACCCAACTTTCATCCATTGTTACAAATCTAGATAAAAAATCCCGTGGATCAGCCTCAAACATTTCCAAACAGTCGCGAGAAATCGTACTAGAACGTTGATTATTTTGAAATATGCTATAAGCTGTCCCAACATTTAAACTCAATACTTACCATACGCCGATCCAATACACCGTATGCTGCAGGCACCCTTTGCCCATCTTGTGCATATAAATTCTTTGTAATAACTTGTATGTGAGCAGCCTTCTGAATTTCTGAAGGACTATCCACATTGAAAGTCACATGAGAACTAGAACCAATATTAATTATATTTCAATTAAACAATAAGTATTAAAACATTTCAGTGCCAAAGTTAAGTATATTGAAAAAAAAAACTGAAATTTAAAAATTCTTTATTTAAAAATATTACCACGAATATTGTAAACATAACCTGACTCACATTTTTCTTCCTAAATATGTTTCTCTGTATTGTTCTTTCGGCATTTTGAAATACTTCAATAACTACACACAAAAACCTTTTTTTAAAGGATAAATAAACAATCCTAATTCTTTAAAATCTTCAAAAGTCTTTTGCAATTCTTCGTCTTCACGGGTAAAAACTTTAAGACTCCGTTGCTTTGCGTTTACACAATCCCACAAATGTCAAAAGTTTGTGACTGTCACGTTGGTCCCTTTACACGGTACGTAAAAACAAAAATAATGAGGAAGTATTTAAAAAAAAACGAAAACACTAAAAAAGCACTTCCACAAAATGGCGACTCTAGCAAAAGTTGATTTTTGCAGGAAACCCTGTATTCACTTCCATTATATTAGTTTCCATTTTCCCCTATACAAATAAAAAAGAAAGGGTTTAGCCGGATACGTATGACGAGTCGGCCCCCAAATGGGAATCGATATTGAAACTTATGTTTTAATATAGACTTGATGTTCAAACACGATTTATGTACTTTCGCGACCGACTTCCGCTTTGACCTTGAGATAGAGAGCAAAATATCCGTATGCTTGACTATTACTGAATGTGATATATCTCTGAAGCTAATTAAGATAAAGAAGTGAAACTAACGCGAGGTGTTAGGTTACATTACAGAGTATATCACATATATTTTTTTATAATTTTTAGAATAAAAAATTATATTAAAAGAATAAAAATAAAAAAAACATGTTTTTTTTTCTGAGTTCTCTGTGACTTACAATCACGAAATTAATATATGTTATGCTCCTTTGTGTGCTCTATCACCCATAAAAATTGCGTGAAAAAAAAGTTGGTGCAACACTACGAAAAAAAATTATATGTGATTCGCGCCTTGTAATGTGAGTGTATAAACAAACAAGTTCGAACTTGTTATCGAGCTGTTTACTGCATCGTTTGTTTAGCTAAAGTAGCAGTCATTTGTATTACACAAGAAGGCAGTTTGGGACTCATATTCTGTCATAGGTATTTTGTATCAGCATTTTGAAATTATTAACTATCGAACCAAATCATTATTAAGTAATAATGTCGAAAAAGTGTAAAAATTGTAACAAGTACCTGTGTAAGATTCCTGGTTATAAAAAAATTATAAAGAATGAAGAAGAAGCTAAAGTGTTTAGTGACTGTTTGAATAAAATCGTAATAGTTAATGATATTTTTTGTGAGAAGTGTCGACTTATCCCATATATGAACAAAAAAGCTTCTACTTCTAAATGTGCAGCATTTAACTTGGCCGAAATAATGGACGATCAAAATAATCTCTAAGTACAATATGTGAAATCAACACCTAATATCATCAAAACAGAAGTAAAATCAAGATATTTAAATAGAAAAGTCTATCGAATTTACATTCACTATATTTCCGAAGGTAATGACTACAATAGTATTCTTCGTTATTGCTGTGATTGCCCCAATGGCAAACGTACAGTGGGATGCTGTTCTCATGTAGCAGCTATTATTTATTATCTATCATATGGATGATATTTGTCCAAAATCGTACGTCCTGCTGAGGTCCTAACTAAGTTATTTGCGACTCAAAGTGTTCCGATTGTAATTAATTACAACAGTGACGATGATTAATATTTTGTTTCTTGTATTTTGATAGACACGTAAAAGTAATAATAATAAGTATTGAACACTGGCTGTTTTTTTTTCATTTCTTTTTTAACTATTATCCCATCTTTTAAGACTAGTTACTTATGTTTTAAAACAAGCTGATGTGAAATTTCGAAAAAAAAAACAATGATGTAATGTGAAAACCTTACAATACAGGGGTATACCATAAGACAGAAATCACATATAATTTTTTTTCGTTGTGTTGCACCATCTTTTTTTTCACGCAATTTTTATGGGTAATAGAGCACACAAAGGAGCATAACATATATTAATTTCGTGATTGTAAGTCACAGAGAACTCAGAAAAAAAAACATGTTTTTTTTATTTTTTATTTTTTTAATGTGATTTTTTATTCTAAAAATTATAAAAAAATATATGTGATATACTCTGTAATGTAACCTAACACCTTGCGTTAGTTTCACTTCTTTATCTTAATTAGCTTTAGAGATATATCACATTCAGTAATAGTCAAGCATACGGATATTTTGCTCTCTATCTCAAGGTCAAAGCGGAAGTCGGTCGCGAAAAGTACATAAATCGTGTTTGAACATCAAGTCGATATTAAAACATAAGTTTCAATATCGATTCCCATTTGGGGGCCGACTCGTCATACGTATCCGGCTAAACCCTTTAGTCAAAGATTACTTGGTATTAATCGAGTTGCGTTTGCATAACTCGAACTAATTAAATTTCCAACTCGATATTAATCCGAGTTATCAGATCCATAACAACACTGACAAATCTTAAAAAAACGATTTCAATTATTTGTCGCCTGAGAATTGGACATGTGTGTACGCCGGTTCGACTTGCCAAATTTAAAATTAAAGACAACCCCCTCTGCGATTGTGGCATTGAGGAAGGAACTACGGATCATATTTTATTTAATTGTTCAAATTTATCCATTTCGCTTTATGATTTGCTACCATCAAAAGTTCCACGTCCAACAAATATAAAATGTATCTTGAGTATGGAGAATCCCAGCCCATTCAAAATTTTAGCAAAATTCTTTGCAATCAATAATAGTCTTAATTTATAAATATATTTGTTTTCTATATACATTCTATTTGTATTATCTTTAACAATGTAATCAGATAGACGCGCTCAGAGCTATTTTTTTTATTTTATTGAAATTCAAAATTTTACATATTTTATTATTGTTTCTATACGTGTAAAGACCACAAACGTGACATTGGCGGAATTGTGTAAATGCAAATAGGCCATGAATTAAAAAAGAAGAAGAAGTTTCTTTATTTTTTTTTAAATACTCCCTCATTAATATTGAACAATGTTATTGTCTTTTTCATTTGTTTATATAAGTACCCATTTAAGGAGACTGCCATGTTTCAAATAATAAATTAATGAATACAGTCAGACATACAAATACACAGATTTTCTTTTTTTTGAGAAACCCTGAATTTTGAAATTACCGATTAAAACACTTATTATTAGTGAAATTGATAAACTCCTCTTACTTGAAGTCTGTTTTAAAAGCTAAAAATTTTATGAAACTTCTATTGAAGTTATCTTCTATTAAAAAGAATTATCCGGTTGTTTTGTTTAGATTATTAATATTAATCACCCGATTTAAACTGAAGTTTCCCAAATTATTTTTGACTTTTACTGAGCGCGATTGAAGTTGGTTTATTTAAAAAAAGTTCCTTTATTTAAAGTTGGTTAACTTAATAATTATATCTTGAAAACTATTGAATCGCTTCGATAGGGAAAAGGGTGTGGTTTTTAATAAGTTGAGAGCTAATAATTAAAAAAAATCAATCCACGCCGCGGTCGCATTTGTGAGAAATATGTGGTTAATATTCATTCATACGAAATTTGAATAATGCCAAAAAATATTTTAGTAGAATGAAGTTACACAAATAATCTACTAAACTACTAAGTTTAAAGTGTACGTAGCGGTAACCCAGTTCATATGTTTCTGGCGTAAAAAGAAGCGCTCCGATCAGCGCGCCGTTTTTTGGCTTGTCAACCGAAACCACGCAACAATTTTCATTCTTATTAATCTTGATAAATGTGATTAGTTTCCCAATGTTTCATTCCAAAGAATACAATATTCGATGCGCCGTTCAAAACAAAGTTTATTATTGGTGAAGTGCATTAGTAATTTGGACTGAATAACGTTTTCCCACCGAAGTGACCCGCGAACTCCTAACATGCCTCTATTGAAAAGGAAAGCCTTCGAGAAATCGACGGCGTCGGAGTATCTTCGGGACGATGACGAAGTGTTCCACTGCGAGATAACCGATGAGATATTTAAAGATTATGAGTAAGTTTCATGTAATTGCTTATTTTGGCGGAATTTTTGCAATAATGGTCTAAAATGTATAGTTATCAATAAGACCGTTGGCTTTGTGGCCGTGCGTTATGCCGTGTAATTACGCGAGCGTGACACTTGTTTTTCGCAGTTTCAACAACTCGCGGAATTATTTTCTTTGCTTTGACGACTTTTGACATTCTAATATGCTTTTAGGGAATACTGTGAGAGAATCATTTTGGTTAACTCCATGGTTTGGTCATGTGAGATGACAGGGAAGAATAATTTGACATATGCAGAGGCTCTTGAAAGTGAGAAAGCTGCAAGAAGACAATTGAAAGATTTTCCAATGGAGCTCCGTATACCAATATTGTATCTAGCAGTTAAGACTAATAGATCATCCTTTGCTGAAATGTCAGAAGACATATTCAATTTTGTTAGAGAGAGATACTTTGTTGGAGAGACAGTGGAGGCTTGTCTAGAGGGAGATTCGTGGTGTGAGGCTCATGTAATGTCTGTGACAGCACAAAAACAGCAGCCAGGGAGGTTTGTAATATTGTTTTCATTTTAACATTTATATTGAAATTCTTACTATTTATACTAAATCAACTTCAATATCGGTGGAATAATAATAAACAAAGATTAGTATTATTATAAACAAAGAAGTAACAAAGATTAGTTGATATAAGCCTGTGTATGTTATTTCTTATTTAAAACATTAATATTAATTGTTATTAAAAGTGTTCCCTTAACAAGTTTTCATCCTGTATTTCACAACCATCAAGTATAGTTTTCATAGAAAAAAGCTCATACTCTTCTTCCAGTTTCAATCTATCTATTCACCAGTATTCATTGAAATTAATTTAGTTGATTTCTTATTTTTTCACAAGCATTATTCATAAAAGAAACCACTTTTAAACAGTTTTATTCATGTATCAGACCCTTTACAGGTTCCATATTCACATAATACTTGTGTTCTTACTTTTAAATGGTTTCATCAGGTTTGTATTTAGTTTTATTAACATGGTCAAGTAATACTTATATGAACACGGAACCTGTAAAGGGCCAAAATTTCAACAAAACTAAATACAAACATTATGATATAGTTTAAAAGCTGTTTCATTTATCAATTCAGTTGTTTATGTGTATTATTATTTCAAATAAATAAGCAAAATGTTCTGCATTTATAATGTTTGTTGAAATTATGATTATTTTAGATAAATGTACAATAATTTCATATCTGTTTTTAAGTCTCAATATTTTGCTA